CACAAATTTTATCGAAACAAACAAATGACAGCAAAACTGGCAAAGAGAATAAGGCCCATTTTGAGTGAATTCGATAGCAATGACTGAGGAATTGTCTGGTTCTGTCTAACTTTTCTATGTGTTATGATTTTTAGTACATAACTACATTAATTGTTGTGCAGAATATATGTGAAATATTTTTTTTTATACACATCAACTTTTTCACGAGTACAACACTACAATATTATAGTACATCAAATAATATATGTGAAATATTTTTTTTATACACATCAACTTTTTCACGAGTACAACACTACAATATTATAGTACAAAAAATTATTCTCCTCATCTTCCACAAAAGACATCCCAAGCAGACCCCAAGTCTTCGGAGATGACAGTCCAGAAAGGTATACATGGCAACAAAGTCATGGCAATTTGGTGCAATTATGCTGATATTGGCTACTCTTTTGGCTGTCCTAAAGATATGGTTACTATTGATGCGTAGCTAACGCGTATAAAAGTTGATATACAATTGTATTAGTATGATTATTCTAATTAATCTCTTAGTAGATGTTGAAAGAAGGAAACAATCACAAAGGAGGATATGACAAATGAAGAGAAAGAAAAAAAAAAAAAAGAAGTTTCCATGTTTTTTCTTTGTGTGAATAAAGAAAAACGAAGCAAACAATAAAAACTAAAAATAAAAAGAGGAAGAAGTAAAGAACAAGAGAAATTAGAAAAAGGAGACGACGAAGATCAAAACAAAGGAGGAACTCTATGCAAAAAGCATAAAAGCAGGAATTGAACGCTGATACTCTTAACTTTTATGATATTTCATTTTGACCCTTGGGCAATAAAAAATGCCCTTATGCATTATCCAAAACTTTAATTGTAGCCTTAAATTCTACATTTCTTAAATAGTTCATGGCCGATTTAACACTAGGCTCATCAATTGTAGAAAATGAAGAGACAATATTTATGTTGACATTAGTAACATATCTAGAGATATTATTGCATATCAACTATATAATTTACAATCAATAGATTTATGATCCCATGCTAATTCCATCGGGGTTTATGGCATCCTCTGACCCCAAAACTTGGCAACCGTTAACTTTTGCAATTAAAGAAGTACTAATGGATGATGCTGTTTCTCCTCTCAATCTTCAGATTTATAATTTGCTTTTCAGTAAGATTTTGTCTTTAAGAAGCTTCTCACTCTTGTGCTTAACTAAAGAAAGAAATATTCTGCATGTTTAATTTACTTTGTTTCGAAAGGTCTGTCTAACAGATACTTATTGAACATTGTTAAGATGTACTTGAAGTAATAAAAAATTAGAGGAAGAGATCGTTTATTAAATGTCTATAGGACCAGAAAATCAAAAACAAATAATTTGTAAAACAACTCAGAATTCTATATAATGAATTAATATAGTAGAAAACCTAAATTGGAAAAGAAAATAGAGAGAGAGAGAGAGATCTGCCCTAACATCAGTATACAAAAAAAATTTTTAAAAAAAAATCCAAACAAGCTATTCAACCCTTCCAAGAAAAAGCTCAACCACTAAAGAATTGATGGATACTTGGACAATTAACATATAAGAAAAAAAAAATATTCAACCCTTCCATTGAAATAATAAGTTTGATCTTTGACGCTAAGGATGTATGACAGGTGCCGAACCTGTGCAATAATAATTATTAAAAAGTCCTAATTACCACCTCAATTAAATAATTATAAAACGAATCCAAGTACTGGAGCAGGGACCCTAGGTGTGCAATGGGTTACTTGATTCACCCTGTTCCCGAAGAGTTTGCTTGATCCGATATACCGGATTTGTCTATAAAAATATTAATTTTGCATACAATGGCAAGTAGGGTCGATTCCACAGGGAGCAGGTAGGAAATTATTTATTTCCAAATCAGTAGAACAAAATTTGGGGGATTTTCAATGGGAGAGAAATAAATAAAATAAAAGTAAAATAAAAATAAAGCGAACTCAATTCAAAACTAACTCACAAGGCACAATTCACTAAAAATAGCAATTAACAAAAGTTCTACCCAAAGGATTAACTGTTCAGGCACGCTCCAAATAAATGCTCATCGATGCAAAGATATTTCACCCATTCATCACTAGGTTGGTTATAGTTATCAATAAGCTCTGACAACCAGTTCTTCCTTACCTTTTCGACAGTCAAGGTACGACCATTGACTGCTTCCCTAACCAGATAACAACCCTAAGTACGACCATAGGAATTTAATTACCCAATTGCATTAAAGCTAGAAGAACCCAACCCTAACCAATAAACACGCTAAGAGGGTTTATTTAAATTAGATCTTGCGTTTCCCCATCATAAAGTCAATTATGGTGGTTGCCACGGGGTGTCAATTAAATGAACAATTACGGATTCTATTTAATTAACGTGGCAGTAGGCTATTAAATTAAATCAAATATCCGGCCGTTGATATTCAATTAATAAAATACCCATGAACAATTAATTCAAGAAACACATGAATAGCAATAAATTGGAAGAAATAATGAAGATTCGATTAGATCTCACAGATATTATGGACCGCGCCTTCGCGTCAACCTTTGGGTAAAGAAGAAAATTAGCCGCTCCTTATCGTGTCAATCCCACGTGATTTAATTGAATTCATTCAATTATTCGCCGAAAAATTGGGGAAAGGAAATTAATTGCAATAACAACAGAGAAGGCCCTGCCTTCGTCTTTGCTTCAGAATCGCAATTACAAAGCAAAACGCTACGAAGGAACTGTCCAGCGGAAAAGTCGAAAGTCAAAAGAGAAAGAGACGTCTAGCGCCTGGGGAAAGAAAAAAACTAAAGCTACTGTTTTGATTCGATGTAAATCTCCCTATCTAATTTGCTGCCCAAGAAGAAACAAAAGCGAAGGGAGCCGTCTGACAAAAAGTAGAAAAAGAGAATTAAAGCTTAAAAAGTTGTCTTTGAATCTTGCTTTTCTTTTCTTTATATAGCCGCCGCACATAGGCAGTCAAAGGAAGAGACGTCTGAAGCAAATCAGCTAATAGAAGCCATCTCTTTTGGAGTTTTGATCCTACGCTTCGGGTTCATGTGGACCACGGTCCGTCTTTCGGTTTCGTCCACCTTCTAAGGCGTGGCCACGCTCTGAAATGAAAAGTCTTCTGGAAGTTCACCCTGCGAGATCATTTTTCATGCCGACCACCTACAATTCACACAAATATCGAATATGAGTGAAATTCCAATTTTTAGCACCGTGAATAACTAAAATTAGGACAAAATAGCAGTGCAAAATACGCCAAATAACCGTTCTATCAAATCCCCCCACACCTAGACAATGCTTGTCCTCAAGCATTTCGGAGCTCAGAAGTACAGTCAATAGAGCAAAGGTCACGTAGTAGTCTATACTAACGCAAGCATCTAGGGTCCCTGACAATATCACCAAAGGTAGAACACACCGGACATGTTTTAATTCAAAGAATGAATACTAGGAACGCTCAATTCAACATCACGGAATGCCATTACCATAGGCTTGCATATTTATCACATCTCCACCACTTAAAAGTGAACCAAACACATAAATCAAAGGGACTTTAATAGTGTTGTAATGGGGCTCAGGTGAAAGGCGGGTTAAGAAGGTATAGATAGGGGGTAAAGTGCCAAGAGAATGTCCGAACCCCACCATTAACCACATGCTTTACCGGAGGAGTTTTACTAACAAGGCAGTTTCCATTTGCTGTACACCCTATACAAGTGCCCCAAATTTTTTTTTTTTTTTTAGAACTGCTCGCAAGGCGTGGGCACGCCTTGTAGCCCATAGTCCTCTGGTCACGAGGTCTCTTCAGGATTTTTTTTTTTTTTGAGGAGAAAGTCCTGTAAGGCGTGGGCACGCCCTGTAATCCAAAGTCCTCTGGTCAGTGGCCTTTTTCCAATTTCCCCTCCTTTATACAAGGATAGCATCATATAGCTCCTAATCTAACAGCAGTTGCAACCCCAATTTTGTTTGCTTTGCACAAATGATGAAATTCAGGCATCCCTTGACAACACAGGGGTAAACAAGAAAGTTTAAAGATGTCTTGGGTTAACAAACACGGATAACAACCAAAACGAAGGACAAAAGCTCAAATTGGTTCACTATTGGGAGATAAGATGAGGGCTTGATTTTTTTTAGATAGCTAAAGAGGGTTAAATCCTAAATGTCCTTATCATTTCAAATGCATCCAATTCAACAAAAATGTGGCATTGACATGTATAAACTAGCAAGTTCTAGAATGCCAATACCATGTGTGATACCCACTCAATTAAACAAAAATAGAGCAAACAAGAATAATGTGCTCATATAAGGCTCAAAAGCTCCCCCAAAAGTTACAAGAATGGGTCAATTCCAGCATATTCAACATTCAACGACACTGCCAAGGGAAACAAAATGCATAGCTAGTATATTTACCCACATACCCACGCATCTTGATTGTGTCATTTATCACAGCAACATGCTCAAACATTAACAAGCAAAAATAACCAAAAAGACGACTAAGTACAATGTTTTTCATTTTTTTTTCATTTTTTTTTGTTTTTTTGTTTTTTGTTTTTTTTTTGAGTAACAAAGAAAAAAGAAATAATGGATTTTTTTTGTTTTTGTTTTTGTTTTTGTTTTTTTTTTTTGCTTTTGTTTTTTTTTTTTTTGAGTAACAAAGAAAAAAAGAAATAATGGAAGCCACTAATCCCCCCACACCTAAAACCTACATTGTGCTCAATGTAAAAAAAGACAAATGAAGTATTAGGGGAAAAAAAAGAAACTTCCCTGACCACCGGGGAGAGAAAGTGAGACACTAAGGCGGAGGAGGTGAGACGGCTGCGTGCACAAGGTGGTGTGGTGGCGGCGGACGCAACACCAACAGGAAGGAGAAGAATGAAGTTTCTTTTTCGGAAGGGTTGGAAGGCGTGGGCACGCCTTAGAAGTTATAGTCGTCTGACCGTCAATTCCAAAACTCCATTCCTTAGGTGTGATGACCTAGCGTGGGCATGCCTAGCTGCCAACTTCCTGTCACAAAATAACAACCCACTAAATGACACTAACACTTAACAAAAACTTAAAAAATATAAGAAAACTAAAACAAAAGAAGCCTTGGGTTGCCTCCCAAGCAGCGCCTTTCTTTAATGTCTTTGGCTAGACATAGCACCACTCTTTAGTCTGGATGTAATTGAATTTTCCTTGTAATTGGTTGCCCTCCTCCAGGATCCACATGGCCATTGAGTGCAACTTTTTTCCTAAATTTTCTCTCCATTTTTACCTCATGAATTGCTTTCATCCTATAGGACTTGTTCGCAGCAACCTTGAATCTACCCCTACAAGCAAACTTAGAAAATTCTTGCACAGAGGGATTAGTGGTATACATAGCAAACACAGAATGAGAGTTAACAGAATGTTTCATTGTATAAAAAATATTAAAGTGGACTATTTCTCCATCAAATTCCATCGTGAGAGTACCCTTACTAACATCAATTTTAGTCTGGGCAGTACTCAAAAATGGTCTTCCTAATATAATGGGTGATGGATTTGGGGCACTTCTATCATCCATGTAAAGCACGTAAAAGTCAGTAGGAAAAATTAATCCATCTACTTGCACTAAAACATCCTCAACTATCCCATCCGGATAAGCACATGTACGATCAGCCAATTGAATTATTATCCCCGTTTCTTTTAAAGGTCCTAAATTTAGGGAATCATAGATTGACTTAGGCATCACATTAATAGAAGCTCCTAAATCTATCATGGCATTTTTGATACTAGAATGACCAATCTTACAGGGGATAGCAAACATACCTGGATCTCCGCATTTGGATGGGAGTTTCCTTTGAAGTACAGCTGATACATTCTCTCCTACCATCACTCTTTCATCACCCCTTAGTTTTCTTTTGTTAACGCACAAGTCTTTCAAGAGCTTTGCGTACTTGGGTACCTGCTTGATCGCGTCCAATAGGGGGATGTTTACTTGAACTTTGCGGAACACATCCAGGATTTCTTTTTCCTTTTCTGCCCTCTTTGTCTTTTCCAACCTGCAAGGAAAAGGAGCTATATTAAATTTAATAGGAATCGAAGGAATAGATGTTACCTTAGGCTCTTCGCGAATGCGCCCTTCCTCTTCAATCTCCTTTTCTATCTCCTCCTCACTTTTGCTTTTCGAATTTACCACTTTAGGTCCATCCACCTCTTTGCCACTCCTTAATGTCATGGCACTTACATTCCTGGAATTTGTCTCGGGTTGTGATGGCAATTTCCCATAGACATGGGACTCCAGGCGGTTAATGGCAGTTGCCATTTGACTCATTCGAATCTCCATGTCTTTCATGCCTGCTTTGGTGTCCTGTTGGAACTGAGTGGTGATCGTGACGAGTTGAGTGGTAGTGTTGGCCAAACTCTTGCCAATTTCTTCCAAAGAACTCCCTGAGCTTGAGGACGAGGGTTGAGACTTGTGTTGCCAAGGTTGCTGAAATCCTGGAGGCCGATTGGAGAATGCATTTTGTGGCCTACTACCATAGCTGAGATTGGGGTGATCTCTCCAACCCGAATTGTACGTGTTGGAATACGGATCGTATTGCCTATGAGGCGCGGGCACGCCTCCAGCCATGTTCACTTGCTCAACCCCATCCTCTTGCAATATAGGGCATGAGTCAGTATGGTGGCCCATATTTGTGCAGATTCCACAGGCCTTTACTTGGGGCACATTTCCCACCACTAATTGTCGAACAACGGATGTTAGCTCCGATATCTGCTGCTGGAGGGATGACGTCTCCACCTCATTGACTCTACGGGGAGGATTGCTCTCACGTAAGCCAAATTGCTGGGAGTTCTCTGCCATGGCTTCGATGAGCTCCCACGCTTCCCTCGGTGTCTTGTTTGCAAGTGCTCCCCCACTCGCAGTATCAATGATACTCCTATCTGTTGGTTGGAGCCCTTCATAGAAGTATTGAATTAACAGTTGCTCACTAATTTGATGCTGCGGGCATCTAGTGCACAACTTGTTAAACCTTTCCCAGTATTCATACAAGGACTCACCGGGATATTGTTTAATGCCGCAGATCTCCTTCCTCAAACTCGCAGCCCGGGATGCAGGAAAGAATTTTTCCAAAAACTTCTTTTTCAACTGTGCCCATGTGGTAATGCTACCTGCTGGTAGCTAGTACAACCAATCTTTAGCTGCATCCTTGAGAGAGAACGGAAAGACTCTCAGTCTAATTTGCTCTTCAGTGACCCCAGGAGGTTTCATACTAGAGCAAACCACCTCGAACTCCTTTACGTGCTTGTGGGGTTCTTCGTCAGAGAGACCATGGAAAGAAGGTAAGAGTTGAATCATCCCCGATTTCAGTTCGAAAGCAGTATTCTCAGCCAAGGCGGGGAATGTGATGCATAAGGGCTGGTGAGTCAGCTCCGGGGCAGCCAGCTCCCTCAATGTTTGGGTGTTGGCCATGCTTACTTCGTCTTCCGCTGACTCGTTTGCAGTAAATAAGTGCCCTCCTTTTTGCCTCTTGGTCTCTTGCCTCCGCCTACGCGCTGTCTTCTCAACCTCAGGGTCGTATACTAATTCACCTGTGCGAGAAAAATAAGGCATAAACTAGCAAAAATACCAAGAACAACAGAATAAAATAAAAATAAAATTAAAAATTGAATTTGAAAAGAAACAAATAATCCAAACGCCAGCTCCCCGGCAACGGCGCCAAAAATTGACAGGTGCCGAACCTGTGCAATAATAATTACTAAAAAGTTCTAATTACCACCTCAATTAAATAATTATAAAACGAATCCAAGTACTGGAGCAGGGACCCTAGGTGTGCAATGGGTTATTTGATTCACTCTGTTCCCGAAAAGTTTGCTTGATCCGATATACCGGATTTGTCTATAAAAATATTAATTTTGCATACAATGACAAGTAGGGTCGATTCCACAGGGAGCAGGTAGGAAATTATTTCTTTCCAAATCAGTAGAACAAAATTTGGGGGATTTTCAATGGGAGAGAAATAAATAAAATAAAAGTAAAATAAAAATAAAGCGAACTCAATTCAAAACTAACTCACAAGGCACAATTCACTAAAAATAGCAATTAACAAAAGTTCTACCCAAAGGATTAACTGTTCAGACACGGTCCAAATAAATGCTCATCGATGCAAAGATATTTCACCCATTCATCATTAGGTTGGTTATAGTTATCAATAAAATCTGACAACCAGTTCTTCCTTACCTTTTCGACAGTCAAGGTACGACCATTGACTGCTTCCCTAACAAGATAACAACCCTATGTACGACCATAGGAATTTAATTACCCAATTGCATTAAAGGTAGAAGAATCCAACCCTAACCAATAAACACGCTAAGAGGGTTTATTTAAATTAGATCTTACGTTTCCCCATCATAAAGCCAATTATGGTGGTTGCCACGGGGTGTCAATTAAATGAACAATTACGGATTCTATTTAATTAACGTGGCAGTAGGCTATTAAATTAAATCAAATACCCGGCCGTTGATATTCAATTAATAAAATACCCATGAACAATTAATTCAGGAAACGCATGAATAGCAATAAATTGGAAGAAATAATAAAGATTCGATTAAATCTCACAGATATTATGGACCGCGCCTTCGCGTCAACCTTTGGGTAAAGAAGAAAATTAGCCGCTCCTCATCGTGTCAATCCCACGTGATTTAATTGAATTCATTCAATTATTCGCCGAAGAATTGGGGAAAGGAAATTAATTGCAATAACAACAGAGAAGGCCCTGCCTTCGTCTTTGCTTCAGAATCGCAATTACAAAGCAAAACGCTACGAAGGAACTGTCCAGCGGAAAAGTCGAAAGTCAAAAGAGAAAGAGACGTCTAGCGCCTGGGGAAAGAAAAAAACTAAAGCTACTGTTTTGATTCGATGTAAATCTCCCTATCTAATTTGCTGCCCAAGAAGAAACAAAAGCGAAGGGAGCCGTCTGACAAAAAGTAGAAAAAGAGAATTAAAGCTTAAAAAGTTGTCTTTGAATCTTGCTTTTCTTTTCTTTATATAGCCGCCGCACATAGGCAGTCAAAGGAAGAGACGTCTGAAGCAAATCAGCTAATAGAAGCCATCTCTTTTGGAGTTTTGATCCTACGCTTCGGGTTCATGTGGACCACGGTCCGTCTTTCGGTTTCGTCCACCTTCTAAGGCGTGGCCACGCTCTGAAATGAAAAGTCTTCTGGAAGTTCACCCTGCGAGATCATTTTTCATGCCGACCACCTACAATTCACACAAATATCGAATATGAGTGAAATTCCAATTTTTAGCACCGTGAATAACTAAAATTAGGACAAAATAGCAGTGCAAAATACGCCAAATAATCGTTCTATCAATGTATATTATTTTTCATTTTTTTTCCACTTGATTTTGTCATTTAAAGCCAGACAATGAAAAGGTCTAAGATTAAAATGATTTTTAGTGTCTAAAGAGCACACGCAAATAATTCGAAACTTCCAATTGAAATACTAACTAATGCATTCACACAATATTCTCATTTAGGCCGCAAATTTCTCCAAACTAAAGTCTATTCACGTGACAATGCTGGCCCGACCAACATGACTCAAAGTCTTTCAGTTTTTCTTTTTTTTTTTTTTTTTACCAAATTTAAGCCTAAGGAAAAACACGAAGAAAGTACTTCATTGGAAAAAGTTGTTACAACGACTAATAGTGACATACAGTAGTAACATTAATTAGTCACGCAACTTTCGACCTATAAGTAGGGGCTTTTCTGATTTTTGCTCGACGCACTCAAAACTTCTCATAAATATTGTGCGAAAGCATTGACTAGTCAAGAAAAGCCAAAAAAAAAAAAAAACCATCTCCGAAGATCGAGTCTGTTAGCTTGTAACAATATGATCAAATTCACTCCATTCATTGTGTTATGGTTTGTCTTTTTGGCAGATAGGATTGGTCTTAGTCTTCACGCAGGAGCATATTCAAATGTTAGCTGTTTTGAGAGCGAGCGAAAAGCTCTCATCGAGTTTAAGAAAGGTCTAATTGATAAATCAAATCGTTTGGCTTCCTGGACCGGAGAAGATTGTTGCTCATGGGAAGGAGTTGGATGCAGCAGGAACACTCGGCACGTGATAAAACTTGATCTGCATAATAATATTGTTTTTGATTTTGATCGATTGATCTATGGGGACAAGCAGAATTATGTCTCTATCTATGGTGAAACGTGCTTGGGAGGCCAGATAAGTCCTTCGTTAGTGAACCTGCAGCATCTGCATTACTTGGATTTAAGCTCGAATTATTTTGCAGGAATTCAAATCCCAGAATTTATAGGATCCTTGAAAAACTTGAGATATCTCAACCTTTCTAGTGCAGGTTTCAATGGGGCAATTCCTCCCCAGTTAGGAAATCTCTCAGCCTTAGAATATCTGGATCTTGGTGAAAAATCCGAAGGTTTTAGTGCTTCGATAAGTCTTCATTCTTTGTCGACAAAGAGTCTCCGGTGGATCGCTCGTCTTTCTTCCTTGAAACATTTGGACCTCACTAGCGTGGACCTAGGAGAGGCTCGAGACTGGTTACAAGCACTTAACAAGCTTCATTTCTTAACCTCATTAACATTACAATCCTGTCGTATTTATTCCTTTCCTCATATTGGACACCCTAATTTCACATCTCTTACCTCACTTGATCTCGAAAGCAATGACTTTAACTCCACAATCCCTCTCTGGTTGTTTAATTTGACTTCACTCGTTCATCTCGATCTCAGTTCCAATAGTTTTTTTGGTCCAATAGTTCCTAATAACCTTCAGCACTGGACTTCACTAAGCTACCTCGATCTCAGCAGCAATCAATTCAATACTTCACTGCCCGATCCACTTTTCACTTTGAACAATCTCGTCCATTTGGACATCAGTTATAACCAAATCCAAGGCTCACTCCCCTTCGGCCTAGGCAACCTAACTTCTCTTTTAGTACTGCATATGGCAGCTAACAAATTTGAAGGCAAAATCCCAAGTGCGATTGGGCAACTTCGAGAACTCACCGAACTCCATCTCAGTTATAATGGGTTCAATGGTAGCATTCCATCCTCTCTTTGGAGGCTGAGTGAGTTGAAATCCTTGTGTCTATCTGGCAATCCATTGAACGGAGAGCTGCGTGACATTCACTTTGCCAAACTCGCACAACTGAAACAATTACGCTTATCCTCCTTACCTGTACTTGCTCTGAATATGAGTTCCTCGTGGGTCCCACCATTCCAGCTTCAAGATATAGAGATGCGTTCCATGAAGATAGGGCCCAAATTTCCTCTCTGGCTTCAAACTCAGAAAAAGGTCGAATATCTAGACATGTCAAATGCAAGCATCTCAGATACTATCCCAGATTGGTTTGAGAGAGTGTGTCATGGTATAAAATCTGTGTATTTCGCCAACAATTACATCACAGGGAAACCACCTGTGTGCAAAGGAAACAGTGGTCTTAAATATCACGCACAATTTTTTTTGGAGTCCAACCAATTTGAGGGGCCTTTGCAATTGTTACCAACAAACATTTATCGATTGCATCTCCAAAATAACTCACTGCAAGGGATTATTCCACAGCCCGACATTAAAAATAACGTGACATTGGATATTCTTCGAGTACTAGATCTCAGTGATAACCACTTCAGTGGCAGCATCCCTGATTCTTTGTGCAGCTTACAAATGCTTGTTGTCCTGGATCTTTCTAACAACCAGCTCTCCAGAAGGATCCCCTCATGCATTGGTAAGCTTAAAACGTTGGGTGTGCTACATCTAGCAAACAACAGTCTCCACGGGCACATTCCAATTTCACTGGGACATCTCAATGTTCTCTAGTCTTTGTACTTGGACCGAAACAAGTTTACAGGGATTGTCCCATTCGCGCTCAGACATCTGAAAAAATTGCAATATCTTAATCTTGGAAATAATGGACTGGAGGGCATTATACCAGCATGGATTGGGGATGAACTATCTAGTTTGAGGTTCCTTGTGCTTGAATCTAATAATTTCCATGGTGACATTTCCATCAGCCTCTACAAATTATCATCCCTTCAGGTTTTAAATTTGAAAGACAACTACTTAACTGGACATATACCTCGCTGTTTTAACAACTTTACAGCAATGACATTGATAGAATTGGACCCTACAGGTACTGTCTATATTGAAGAACTTTCAGTTTTCATCAAAGGTGGAATGTTGAAGTACACCTCAAGGAATGTGGCATATGTTAGATTCATGGGGCTTTCAGGAAACAAACTAAGTGGGGAAATACCTGCCAAGTTAATGTCTCTTGTTGGATTGCAGGGTTTGGATTTATCTAGGAACCATCTAAGTGGACGAATCCCAGAAAACATTGGGAAGTTGAACCAACTTGAGTCTCTAGATTTATCCAAAAATGACCTTTTTGGTCCAATTCCCCAAAGTTTGTCGAACTTGGATTCTATGGGCTGGCTGAACTTGTCGTTCAACAAGCTAACCGGTCGAATTCCATCCGGACGTCATCTACAGACATTTGACGACCCAACCATTTACATGGGAAATAGTGGACTTTGTGGTGAACCCCTAGACAAAAGCTGCCCTGATGAATCTGATGGTAAATCAAATGCCGGAGAGTCTGATGGTGATCATGAAGATGGCAAGGAGTCTTATTTTTATTGGTTTTATGCTGGTTTGGGACCTGGTTTTGCTGTTGGACTCATTGGATTCTTCAGTGTCCTATGTTTCAAGAAGTCATGGCGCTATGCATACTTCGGATTTCTGGAGAACTTGTTGAATAAAGTATCAGTAGAAATTGAATTGCTAAAAAGGAAGTTTGATTGATTGAGTTTACATGTATCATCAATTATATGGTTGTAATGTCATGGCACTTCTTCTAGGATGTATGCTTCATCTTATTGTAAAATAATAAAGTATTAATAAGAAATTTCCACTTTCTTTTGTTGCAACGAATTAAGCAACACATAGTTAGAACATTAGCTTTGGAAGATCTTTCTCCTTGTAATACGAATGTAGTTTTTAACTAGAAAAAGTATACTAATTAACTCATCAATCTATTAAAATAATCAGAGATCAACAAGGGACTCATACAATTAAAAATATGCTATCTAATTAGAGTAATAAAACATTCAAACACAATGGATATGCAAAATGCCTCATTTTTTTGAAGAGAAGATGTATGAATTATTATAAAATCAGAGTTAGCCCACGCCCTTTTTTCCCCCTTTTTCAAGAAAGAAGGATGCCAATGTTTTACACGTTACAATATTAAATTGTTCAACCATAATTCAGTCGTTTGAGATTAAAGTAAATTCAAAATATTAAAAGCATATTTTAGCAATTTTTTCCCCTCAAATGTTATTCTTCTACCTCTAGAATGGCATCATAAACGAATCACCAGTTTAAATGCAACACTGACCCTTTAGGCTAAATTCATAGTTTGTTCTATGAATCAGGATAAACGCCTATAACAGCCAAGCTTGGCTATAACTACTTACACTATCTATTAAGTACTTGCTGCAGCAATTCGATCACTCAAATTGCCATGTCCTAAGGACATTTGTTTTCTTTGTGGGTTGAGTTGAGTATACAGCTTCCTTATTGGGAGGCAGATAAACTAAATCTTCTACATCAGGATTAGGGAGGAAAACAGAAGAGAAACTCGAAAATGTTCAGAGCTTCCCTTCTCAATTTCCTACTCGTTGGCAAAGCCTATACACCATTTTATATTTCAGCCTTGTAAATTAGGCCCATCGAGTCTATTAATGTCAATTTTTAGAAATCTAGTCAAGTTCTAATTTGTTTCTTTCATACATGTTCAGCTTTGTGATATGTAAACAAACACATACACAGACATATACATGAATCTAATTGTTCGGTAGAATATTGTACTTTTTCAATACCTACCAACGTTTCTATCTGTCAATTCTGATGGATTTTCGTTGGGCAATTCTATATCTTTTGGATTTGTCCAAGCCGTGAGTTAGGATCTGGTCCCGAGTAATTATGAAAAAAAGTTAATTTGACAACCTACAAAAGTAATAACGAAGCTATAATAAAATGTGAAAAAAATATTAAAAAATAATGACACAAAAATTTACATGGTCCGGTCAATTAGACCTATATCCATAGAAGAAGGTGAGCAAAATTCATAATCATAATGTAGAATACAAAGCTTGGGACAAGTATGAAATGAGAGACAAATGTAACAGAGAAACTCGAGGTTGAACAAACAAGGAAGGTTTCCTAACTTGGAACTCTCAACTCTCCCGGCTGGCTTTTAGAAAGAAATGTAGTAGTGGAATGGTTGGTGCCCCAATACCACAAAATATGAAAGAGACTAAACAAGAAATCTCAATACTACACAAAAGGGGGAGAATACCCTAAATGAGTTTATGTCTTTGGTATAGAGGTGGCATACCAAATGCCTTGCCAAACCCCCTATTTATAGGAGAAATTCTTCAATATGAAACCACCATTCGAACATGAGTTGCTACTGAAAATTTTGACTGCTAAAGCCTTCAAAATAATAGTAGAGGTATGACATAGGATGGTGACTACGTACAAAGAAAAAAATGTCCTTGTTACCCACAACAGCATAATAGAGACAGCCATTAAGTGCAGCTTGACAAATAGTCCAACACTACCATAACATCCAACCCAAAAAAAGCCAGACGACAATCATGAAGAACAAAAAGCTGTCTCTATGAGTCAAAGCATGTCTTTGCATGAACTTTTTGAATTTAAACACTAGCAAAACTTGTCTTGCAACCTCCAATAGCATTAAGTAACAATATGCCTCAAAATTTGTAGAATCCACTAAAGCCAATGCCAATGAAAGCACCATTAAATATAGCTCAAGCCTTCCTAGATTTGCTGGTGGCCAACTGTGATTCAGGCTGCAAAATACAAGGAAAAAAAAATTTAGACACGAAGAGAAACACTCCAGAAAATACAGACAACTCAATATGGCAGGGGGAAGACATGTAGACTGGCCAAAAAGATCATACATTAAAGTTAATAGACATAATGGACAGAACAGAAAACTGCAAAAAAAGTCATCTATCGGACATACGGTTTATTCTTCCATGGGCACGATATGTGCGGCGTCTTTGTTTCTGTGCTTGATTCACTTGAATGTGAGAAATGAAAAATGAATCCACATCCAAGCCTTTCACCTGCAGGATAAAATAACCGCTGCCAAAGTTGTACAAAACAAAGAAATTTAGATCATAACTTCTGGATGCATGGACAAACCTCTGCATTGCTTTCAGCATTCTTGAGCAAATCCAAAAAGAAGCTAGCAGATTTAACAGGCAAGCGACCCTGTCCATTTGAATGCCTATTCTTGGCCTGAGCAGTACGCCCAACACCTCCACAGAAACGTGCAAACGGAATCACCTGCTTAGGGGCCAAAACATCCTCCAAGTACCTCTTAGCCTTCGCTAAAGGCAGCTTCCTGATGGCATGCGCTGTTTCCCTTGTGTTCTGTTAAAGAACAGGAGCACAGACGGTCTTTCAGATTGTATACTTGGATAAGAACTAGCTAAGTGACAGGTGCCGAACCTGTGCAATAATAAATACCTACTCGAGAAAAATATAGATTTTATATATAGCGGTGAGTAGGGTCGAATCCACAGGGACTGAGGATAATTCGTTTTTTCTAGAGTCCAAAGTATGGGGGGTTCTTGGATTAAATGCTAACTAAATAAATTAACTGCAGAAAATAATTAATTAAAAGAAATAACTAAGAGAAACTCTAGCCAAGGGTACACTTCAGAAATGGTTCATGCAACTGATCATTGATTCACAGATAATTCCACATTTATTAATAGATTAGTTATAGTTGTCATGCACGCGACAAACAACCAATCTTTCCTTAATTTTTCGAGAGTTAAGGTACGACCGTTAACTATTTCTCTAACCCAAAAACAACTCTAGGTACGACCGTAGGATTTAATTTCTAGATTGCATTAATAATTAGAAAGGCCCAATCCTAACTAACAAACACGCTACGAGGGTTTGTTTAAACTAGATCGTATGCTCCCCTGACATAAATCCAATTACGCCAGTTGCTACTAAGATAGAGATAACGAACAATTACGGATTCAATTACCTCTATTTAGCAAAATAGCCTATATGAATAATTAATTATTGCGCACTAATCAATCATACACAAGAGCTATAACAGTTAAAAGCAGGAAACATATGAATACCAATAAATGGAGGAAACAATTAAAATAAATTCGATCTCACAGTAATTGTTGAATCAAGTCTTCAGTTGTCCCCTTGACTAGAATTGAGAGGTTAGTCCTCCATTAATGGAGAACAACCATGCGAAAAAGCTAAGAAAAGTAAACTAAAACTATGCTAAAAACCTAAACTAAAACTATTGATTGATAAGAGTTCTCTGTACGTTTGTCTCCCTTTTTAAAGTCAAAAGGAAGTCTAATGCTATCTCTAGTGGTCCCCACACCAAATTCAAAGTCTTGTACGTTTCTTTTCCTAGAGTCCAAATGACTCATGCTTCTTATCCGTGGTCCCCGCACATGTGGACAAAGCCTCCAAAGTACTTGTTGTTCCAAGTCTCTCTACGTTGCTTTCTTTGAAAAGCCCAAATGACTAAATGCCTTGCACTAACTTGTGGTCCCCACCAATTCAAGGACCCAAAGGTTGAAGCCCTTAGAAGTCTGCATTTTTCCATACAAGTCCCTCCTTTTTGGTAATTTTCTGTTTCACTTCCTGAAATTGAGTCCAATACCAAATATAAGTAAATATTAATAATTAAAACAATATTTGGTAAGGATAAATGGGAAAATTAACAATAAAATAACTAACAATTAACACCCTATCAATTCCCCCCACACCTAAATCATGTTTGCCCTCAAGCATGGGAACAACAATTGAACACCAAAATTTGACCATGGCTGTCACTCCAATTACCGTATTGCCAAGACACCAAGAAAATCATATATCAAGCGACACAGGTCAAGATCCAAGAAAAATCACCCCGGTTAGCATCTAAACTACCAACTCCTCCAATTTAAAGAAAACTAATCTAAGAAAAAGGAATGGTTGCTCACATTTATCAGCAAATGGTCCAACTATTCATCCAAATCTCAACATTAACCCATAGATCGGTAAGCTGACTTTAGACACACACTTACACAACCTTCACCTTTTTTATCACGTTTTTCTATTTTTCTCTTTCTTTTTTTTTTTGCTATTTTTTTTTTACCAATAATAACAAAAGACTTAGTTTCTAGCTATTAGAGTCTTTTGACGCGAACTCCAACATTTGATAGATGTAGGAGCCCGGTTACTCAGCTCCAATTGCTACGAGACCATGCACTCATAGCAACTACTACCTTTTGACTCGAAAATCAACACTTTAGGTGAAGATCCCCGGTTACTCAGTAGTAACTACTAGCGGAGTACAGTCAACTCTTATTTACAATCATATAACACAACAACTAAAAATAACAGCAGCCAGCCTCAAATTCCAAACATGGAGAACTAAAATTAATAATTGGACCAATTCACATGAAGAATGCCAACAACCATTCCCTGTGCCTAGAAGAGTTAACCAAAAATTGAAAAATTCAAGCAAGTATTGATATTCACCAAAGAGATGTTCCTGAACTCAACTACATCAACTTGATATCCTTTTATTACTAAAACTTGGCAATAGCAGAATTAGAAACAGCAATCCAGTATCAAACTTGGTATTCACATAAAACTGATCACTAGTAAAAGTAAAAAGAAAATAAACGAAAAAATAGAACAAATAACAACGAAAATAAAGGAAAAAAACTAAAAACTGAATACCAGAAATACCAACTGTACCACAGCTCTCCCCCCCACACCTAAATCCGACATTGTCCTCAATGGAGATCATAAAGTAAAGAAAAGCGAATAGGACAACTACGCTTCCCTGAATACGTGGTGGAAGGTCTTGGGCAGCTATGGAATAGGTGGGAACGGTGGAGTGAAAATGGTGCTACGGTAGTGCGCGGCAGTGAAAGATTGCAGAGAGGAGGAGAGCTCCGACGTGCGTCTTGATCCAGGCGAACTAGAGTGCAACAGAGAACATCAAACCAGCAAATTTCCAGACAATGCAGCAGTTTCAATCAATGGCTGAGGACGTCCAACAATGTGCTTGAACGCAGTGAATTCCAACGAATATGGCGATCAAACAGACTAGCAGCGGTAATAGAGTCTAAATAAATCAATAAATCGCAACAAATGAACTCAATTCTACCCAAAATCGCAACAAATGTCCCCTAAAATTCAGCAAGTCTAGTAATAGCAGGTTAGAATTTAAGCAATAACAACTTAGTCACAAGCTCTGAGCTTTCAATCAAGCAGCCAACCAAGGAGAATGAACAAATGCAGTCAAAATAGGCGAAAGTCTCAACAAAGCAGCTATTACAAACAATAAGCAATGGTGGTCCGAATGTTAGTCAATGCAGAAATAATGCAACTCAAAATCGCTGCAAGTACTCCAATGGGCTTAGCAATTGAATTGATAAGGACTAAATACTCCCACACAAGGCAAATAGAGGCAACCTACTTCAATAAGCAATGGAAATGGCACGGGAGCCGTCCAATGCACCAATTAAATGCAATAAACCCCAACCAAAGGCAGCTCAATAGACTCCAGGCAGAAAGTACCAAATGATACTCACTTGACACCAAAAATGATCCCAACAAAGCAGCAAGATCGAAGGATACTCAGTCACAGATGCTCAATCATATCGAAATAAGAAATTGTAGCAAATTAGCACAACCAGTACCACTGGTGTATACACAGGAAAGAAGGGAACCACATGGCCAACCCAATTAATAAAAAGCACAACTAAGGCACCCCAAAGGCTAGAAAAGTACCCTAACATCACAGCAAATTGAATGAATATGCACTGGGTCTCCCATTCAGTCAAAATAAGATCAAGGGGCACGATACAGAAACTAACAAAGCAGAACTCAAGTGATACCAGTAGGGACCCCAACAGAGCAATGAATTCAACCAATTGGAGCAAGTGAAACTCAACAAATGTCACCAATTGGACATTCAATTACCCACTTCAAGCGACAAAACCTAGCAATTGGGCCAAGCAATAGGCAATTCTAGCAACCACCGTTTAGAATTTGAGATACAATTTAAGCACTAAAACCCAAGAATCAAGTAGGCAGTCAAGCATAAAGGAATAAGAAATTTTAGTCAACACCACATCCAGTACCTCCGCTGCAAGTTCAGGAAAAAAAAATTAAATCAAATGGCCAACCCACTGCACCTGATAAATCCGAACACACCAAGTAGCACAAAAAATGAGCAGAAATCAAAACAACAAGCAATTGGAAACTACCTCCCAAATCAACCCCAACAATTCCCAAACAAATGAACTGGCACAAGAGCCGTCAAAATTTATCTCCCAGATGCAATAGAAATCTCAAGTAGTCAAAACCCAAACAATGTTCAACAATATAATCAATACCAGAGAGCACCCCCAAATGGGGTAGCAAATAAATTGAATTTCACCCAAAATTAGCCCCAGAAAATGCCCAAATCACCTCCTGCTTGTATCCATCAAGACACCTAAGAAACAAAAACGTAAATTCCAGCAATTTAAGGACCAGAGAAATACTAATCAAGGTGGAAATTGGAATACCTCCACCTGCCCAAAATTGGCAGGTGGTGACGCGCGGCAAGGAGGTGGCGATGGCGGAGCTGCTAGAGGTTGGCGTGAGGTGAGGCGGAGCTGATGATGGCCGCGGGAGAGAGAGAAGTGAGGTGGGGGTGGCGTGTCTGTGGACGCGCGCAAAAGGAGAGGGAGTTGGTGGTCAGCGGCGTGCGATGAAGGAAGATGGCGGTGGCCGCTGGCGGTGGAGAGTCGTGGAAGTGCGGCGGCTCCTGGTGGCGTTGGAGGCGCGCGAGCTCAGGAGGAGCTGCGCGCAATGGTAGCGGAGCTGCGCTGTGGGTGGACAGCCGCGGGCAAAGCTCAGGAGGAGGTGCGCGAGCTGGTGGCGAGGCGGCGGGCGGCGGCGGACGAACAAAAGAAGAGAAGGAAAAGTGGAAAACAGGGGAACGGCAGAGAAGAAGAAGAAGAATAAGAAAAGGAAAGGAAAGAAAGAAAAGAAAGGAAGAAAGAAAAAGAAGAAAGAAAGAGAGAAAAAGAGAAAAAAAATAGTTTTTGGGATTTTTTTTTTTTTTTTTTTGCACACTCAAATTTCAAACTTCGAATTGTGAGAATCAAAACTGAAGGTGTAAAACGGAAAATGTTTTTATTTTGAATTTTTGAAATTTTCTCTTTTTTTTTTTTTGGTCTTCAAACACCGCGTGGGCACGCCAAGATTGCACTTCCTGCCACAGTAGAGATTGCACTTCCTGCCACAGTAGAGAAAAATATGAAGACCATTACTACTCAACTGAGAAACAAAAAAAATGAAAGAAGTGAACAACGAAAAATAATAAAATCAATATTTGGGTTGCCTCCCAAAAAACGCCCTTCTTTAATGTCTTTGGCTAGACATTGTTATGTCTTGTTCATGGAGGATAAAATCTTGTGGCTCGCTTCAATGCTTCATTTTCAATGTGATCCTGATAACCCTCATAGATGGAGTAATCCTTCAGCACACGAGCTACGATCTTCTGTGAACTAGTAGATGGCTCCAAACCGGTCAACAATAATCTGGATTCTTCACTCACTCCTCCACCACGCGCATTTATCGGTTCAAGATATTTCGCCATCTCCACTCTCAACTTATTTCTGCCATGAGACTCAAAAACTTCCGGTATAACAAAATCAATCTCATTAACAGAAATCATAGAGTAAGAGTTAGGAAAATGCGGGTTAGGGAATGGAGGTGGTGTCACCACATTTGATGATTCTTCACTGGATTCTTTCACTTGAACGGGTTGCAGTTGGGGTTCCATTTCTTCCTTTTCGGCTTCTTTTTCAACTGCATCTGTAGATCTCTCTTCTTGAAACTCTTGCAGCTCCTTATCACTAGTCAAGCAAATTGCACTATCATTTTCTTCAAAATCAACAATGGTTTTCGAGGGCAATTCTTCAATTTGAGAAGCCACCAATCGATTTACTCTGGATGTCAATAGACATATTTGATCTTCCAGATTACTCATTGCATCCTTCATCATCCTATTTCTCATTTGTGTCTCCTGTTGGAATTGATATGTATTAGTAGCTATTGATTCAACCATTTCTTCAAGAGACATACCCGACATAAATGATGATTCTTGAGACTCATACTGCTGAAAATTCATTGGCCCTGTTGTATAATTATAACTGGAGTTATCCCACCATCCTTGATCATACCCGTTTGGATTAGGGTTATACCACGTTTGAGACCAGGGTGAAAAATCTCCATAATTATTGAATGGGACACTCAGATTATCTTGATATTCGGGGCACATACCGGTTGAATGATCCCTGGCATAACAAATGTTACAGGTTGCAGCAGTCATTCTTTCTCTAATAGAGTTTAGTGCCTCTGAATATGCAAACTTAGCAAAAAAAGAAGCCTCATTGCCTTCCCTGGAAACAAAATCCAGTCTATCACCAAAATACGGAGTGTTAGAAGTCATAAACTATATTAAAAAAATAAGAGAAAAAAAAATAAAATAAAAAAATGAACTAAAAAAAGAAATAAGTTAATCTAGCATCAGTCCCCGGCAACGGCGCCAAAAATTGACAGGTGCCGAACTTGTGCAATAATAAATACTTACTCGAGAAAAATACATATTTTGTATATAGCGGTGAGTAGGGTCGAATCCACAGGGACTGGGGATAATTCGTTTCTTCTAGAGTCCAAAGTATGGGAGGTTCTTGGATTAAATGCTAACTAAATAAATTAACTGCAGAAAATAATTAATTAAAAGAAATAACTAAGAGAAACTCTAGCCAAGGGTACACTTCAGAAATGGTTCATGCAACTGATCATTGATTCACAGATAATTCCACATTTATTAATAGATTAGTTATAGTTGTCATGCACGCGATAAACAACCAATCTTTCCTTAATTTTTCGATAGTTAAGGTACGACCGTTAACTATTTCTCTAACCCAAAAACAACTCTAGGTACGACCGTAGGATTTAATTTCTAGATTGTATTAATAATTAGAAAGGTCCAATCCTAACTAACAAACACGCTACGAGGGTTTGTTTAAACTAGATCGTATGCTCCCCTGACATAAATCCAATTACGTCAGTTGCTACTAAGATAGAGATAACGAATAATTACGGATTCAATTACATCTATTTAGCAAAATAGCCTATATGAATAATTAATTATTGCGCACTAATCAATCATACACAAGATTTATAACAGTTAAAAGCAGGAAACATATGAATACCAATAAATGGAGGAAACAATTAAAATAAATTCGATCTTACAGTAATTGTTGAACCAAGTCTTCAGTTGTCCCCTTGACTAGAATTGAGAGGTTAGTCCTCCATTAATGGAGAACAACCATGCGAAAAAGCTAAGAAAAGTAAACTAAAACTATGCTAAAAACCTAAACTAAAACTATTGATTGATAAGAGTTCTCTGTACGTTTGTCTCCCTTTTTAAAGCCAAAAGGAAGTCTAATGCTATCTCTAGTGGTCCCCACACCAAATTCAAAGTCTTGTACGTTTCTTTTCCTAGAGTCCAAATGACTCATGCTTCTTATCCGTGGTCCCCGCACATGTGGACAAAGCCTCCAAAGTATTTGTTGTTCCAAGTCTCTCTACGTTGCTTTCTTTGAAAAGCCCAAATGACTAAATGCCTTGCACTAGCTTGTGGTCCCCACCAATTCAAGGACCCAAAGGTTGAAGCCCTTAGAAGTCTGCATTTTTCCATACAAGTCCCTCCTTTTTTGTAATTTTCTGTTTCACTTCCTGAAATTGAGTCCAATACCAAATATAAGTAAATATTAATAATTAAAACAATATTTGGCAAGGATAAATGGGAAAATTAACAATAAAATAACTAACAATTAACACCCTATCACTAAGGATTCAGACCAAATAACAAAGCAGCACCATTTAGGGACATAGCAGATTTTACATCATCAATTATGTACTGTTCCAAAGAAAACAAAAAAAAAAAAGCTTACTACTCTACCTAGGTAACAACTCTAATAGTACAAGAACTAAGATTCACATATCTATGCCCCAAAAAAACCAATGACAAAGCACAAATAAAGTTGTAGAAAAAGGAACATAAGGCATAATAGTGGATCCAACAACAAAGAAAGACCCAACAGAATTAGTTGCAGCTTTGAAATGCCCACTAGAACTTATTAATCATTCTCACTGGTATTCAGTCAAAAACTAAATCAACAATATCCCACTCTCCCAGGAAATTCTGAAAGCAACTGACGTTCACTAAGGATCGAAAAAGCTCAAAAAGACATGAAGCTTACTTCTTGTCGCCATACGTCAGACTGATTAGCAAGATGGACATATAATAATGTCAGGAAGATGATTGTTGAAGGTTTTCAGCAAGACAATGAAATACAACTGCCCATCTTCCCAAAAAAATTGATATCGCAGAGAACTCTTTCGAGCAAAGTGCAATGACAAATTAGCACAACGTCGATACACACAATCCCTGCTTTCTATAACACCGAGATGTAGAATCAAATTTGTATGACTATTTTACTTAATCTCTTAGTGGATGCAAACAAAAAAACATAGGATGTCTTAAAATCTAAAATCAAATTGAACGAAAGAAGGAAACAAGAACGAAGGAAGATATGACAGGTGTAGAGGAAAAGAACCAAAATAAGAAGGTGAATAAAGAAAAAAGAAGCAAAAGATTTTAAAAAAATGGAAATAAGAAGAGTTAAAAAGTGGACAATGGGAGAAATCAGAAAATGAAGACGAAGAATATGAACTCCATGCAAAAAGCATAAAAGGAGGAATTCAAAACTGGTACTAATACTCTTTAACTTTTGAATTATTTCATTTTGACCCATGGATATTTTGGGGCAACAAAACTGCTCTTACGCATTTTCCGTAACTTCAATTGTAGAATTAAGTTCTATATCTCTTCAAATAGTTCAATTGCAAGTTTTAAAACAGCATATTAGAGTTGGATTTTAAGGGTTTTGAATTGCAACAAGTGTGGAAGGCAAAAAGGAAGAGACATTTTGTTGATATTAGTAACATTATCTAAATGAAAATTTGAGGTTGTGATTTCAACGAAATGTCTAACAGGATCAAGCAATTGGAAAGAATATTGTTTAAACAATAAAAATTTAATATCAAGATTTAGTATAGTAAAAAGCTTGGATAAGAAAAACAAAAATGAACAGGCCTCACATTAGGATTAAAAAAATTTTTCCAAAGAAAACATGTTGCCTGGAAGAGACGTAAAGTCAAAACGTCCAAAAAAATAAAAACAACAAAAAGCAGGATCAATAAAAAGTGGATGGATACTTGGATAGTCACCATTAAATTAAGGCAAAGTGATGATTTGGAGCAGTCAGATCAATATCAAATAATAGTTAACCCTTTTTTATTTTTTTTCTCCTTCTATTTGTGTTTTTCTATTTAGTCTCTTAGTAAGCAAAAAACATTTCGTTCATTTTTAGGCAGTGTGCATTGGCATTTTCATAGGAACTGTGAATTTAGACTACGTATTTGTATTTATTTGTACATCCTCTATATATTGCAAATCTATAGTTTCCATGATGACATAGGCATTTCAATATTGTTAATAATAATTAGGGAAAATGACCTATTTCATCCCTCACATTTCGCAAAAATATTCTTTTCGTCCCTCACTTTTAAAATGAAGCAAATTCGTCCCTGACATTTAAAAATTAAAGCTATTACATCCTTGAACTTAATTTTCAATCTGAATCAAACCATCTAATAATCCAGTAATAAATTTCAAAAATAGAATTGATAGATCATTCGGTCAACTTCATCGTATTCACATGACATTCATTAAACAAAAAAAATAAAAATTATAACATAAAAGGCCATTCTTTGTCTTGGAATAGTAGAGTTTTTTTTTTTTATAAATCTTTTCATGCATCATTAGTATATCCGTTTGCGAATCTAGATGTGTATCATAAATATAAAATTTGGTGTTTAAATTTAAATTAAAATGATATGGCGGTACATAAAACCGTCAGTGTATACAATGATAATGTAGAAAAGATTAATCTTTCTTTTTTATATTATAATTTTTTATTTTTTCATTTTAGATTCATTAAATTTTACATGAATATCAAGTTGAGTTAACCAAGTGATCTACCAATTATACCCCCAAAATTTATAATTAGGTTGATTGGTGGTTTGATTCAGATTGAAATTTGGGTTCAGGGATGTAATAATTTTAGTTTTTAAATGTCAAGGACGAAATTGCTTCATTTTAAAAGTGAGGGACGAAAAGAATATTTTTGTGAAATGTGAAGGATGAAACCGATCATTTTCCCTAATAATTAATGATGTACCAGCATTTCTTTACGTCATCTATATATATATATATATTTTAAGAACAAGGAACCGATGGAGTAGTTTTCTTATAATTACATTGTTTAGTTTGAGTTACATCATATAAAAGATAAAAATTTGGATACACCACAAAATATTTGACTATGTTAATATACAAGTATCTAATCACCTTTAGAAGTTTTGGTTTCTAAAAAAAGTATTTAATCTCTTTTTTCAATGCATGTCAATAATAACAATTAAACAGTGCGTAATTTTATTTTATTTTTTTGAGGCCAATTATAGACCCAAATCGTATTTCAAAAATATGAAATCTTAATTCAAGGGCTATTCCAGCAGGCTTGTCAATTGAGCCTTATGATTGTACTTGACAAAGTCCAGATAAAACAGATATTAAAATCAGAACTTTAGTCGTAAGAGGTCCATCTAGATTCTAAACTGACGAAATCACGGGCCTTGGAATACGAAGCATACCAACCCAATTTGCGTGTTATTAGTGCATGACATTCATGAATCATGACAACAAAAACTAGCCCAAATAGAACTTTACAATTTGTTTCCAGCAAAACTAAGAGGAGAACCCATATGTTGAAAGGACAATATTTCCAGATTTAAACTGGAAGCAAATTTTGTTGTCATAAATCGTCCTATGTTGATTCTCTACACTGTGCATGTAGCTTGGTTTGTTTGTTTTCAGTGGATTTTATAATGATTTACAGTAGAATAATAAGAGGTCTAAGTTTCAAATGATTTTTTTTTTTTTTGGGTCTCAAGAGTACATGGAAATAATAGGAAACTTCTAATCGAAAAAAAAAAAAAAAGCATTTGCAGAAAAATCTCATTAGGCTGCAAATCTCTCCAAACTAATCCCTCTTCATGTGACAGAGGTGGCCTCAGTTATCCAGTAATGCAACATTTTGGTGAATTAAATTTAAGCACTGTGGAACAACACAGGGAATGCACTTCCGTAGAATTGTGGAAAATTTGTAGCATCTCACAAGGTATTATATAATAGACGTACAGCAATAACGTGAATTATATTTGTGTATATATAATAGACACAACCAGCAGTGGAACTTAATCGTTCAATAGCTTTAATCTATATTCTAGAATTCATATCTAGCAAATTGGTAATATTAAATCCAATATGGCAGCAAATTGAGTAGAAATCAACTTCAAATAACTCCTAAAACGGTGTCTAGTAAAAAGGTAGATTAGCGATTTTTTTTTCGGGAGACACAGACCTTACTACATTAACGAAATGTTTTGACATAACTTTTGAATTTTTTTTGTTGTAGGTGAAATTTGAACCTTCACCTGCAATTTAACGAGGAATTTGAGACTCTCCCTAGTGGCCATTGAGCTAAGCTCAGTGGTTCACTTTGCAGAATCATTCGAGATGTACAGAATTGAATCAAGTACAAATTGAGCTGTCCAACTGCAAGAAGATTGGAAAGGAGACAAAAATGAAACAAAGGGATTGGAGGCTTGTGTGGAGATCTTCCTAACGAAGATATCGGTGAATGAGATAGCAGTTTTTACGGCTGTGTAAAATGAGTGGTGGGAATGCAGCAGAGGGGTTGCGGGAGTGGAACTAGACTAGAACTGGGGTTGGTGAGTAGAACTTTTAACTCTTCCTCTATCTTATTCTGTTCTTTCTTTCTTTCCCTTTTTTTTTTGTCTTTTTGGTTTTATGTATTTCTTCCTTTATTTGTTTTGTTTTTCTCTTTCTTTTCCTTTTACCAATAAAGATATAAATTGGGAAGGCATTTTTTTTTTTTGCTTTATTTTTGCAGAAGAAGCATATAGTTTTTTCTTTATTACTATTCTTCTTTTTTTTTTTTTCTATACATGTTTTGTTTCCTTTGACTCCCCATTTTCTTCTCCGTTTCTTCCAATGAAACTTGGCTTGTTGTCAATGCATTTGGGTGAAGGATTATTTTGTCGTTCTCCAGAATCTAACGGTAAACTAAAGATGACATTGGTGATGAGGGGTGAATGTAATTTGGCCTAGCCTCAAGGGTTGATTGGTAATTTGGTGAAACCTCAAAAGAGTTAAATTTAATTAACCTAATATCTAATAGGGTATGTTACAAAGGTTTAACTATTTATTGTCTAGCCCTACGGGATTTTAGTAATGGTTCCGAGCCAAAAGAAATTATAGCGTAATGGATCTTCTGTCCCACTTCTTATTTCATAAGTTATCCCACTTTTTATTATATTATTATTTCTTATTTATAAACATTATATTTTAATTCTTTTTTATTTTCTTACTATTAAATAACTAGTAACACAGTAAAAAATAAAGTATTTTTCCAATAGATGTCTCTTGGGTACTCGTTAATGCACCTATATTCCATCCAACCTATCATGTATATACACAAATTAACAATTGCTACATTCCCTTGTATTTATACACCTTCCTAATTAATTCCCTTACATTTATACACATCCCCTAATTAATCTTATATTTCTAAAAATCTAATACTTGAAATATATCTTAAGAGGTGCCCATTGGGTACTCGTTAGACAGACCCAAAAGTAAATACAACAATTTCAAAAAATATATATAATAGAAAATCACAAAATATAGTAGAAAATTTATAAAAAAAAAGTCTCATTTTTATGCATATTATGAATTTTTGAATTTGTTAAATTTTGTGTGTTACTCAGTTATAATTACTGAACCTAAGGGAACAAAAGAGAATTAAAATATGATATTTATGAAGGAGAAATATGCAATATAGTAAAAAGTTGGACAGAAAGTAAACCAGAGAGCGGGACAGAAAATTCGTCCTCTTAAACTCTCCGTTTGGCTATGTTGATCTTCTGCAAGCTCGTAATTATCTTCATCAACTCTTTACTCAATCAAAGGTGCCATCTTTGGTCTACGTTCTCTTAGCTCAATACGAGAACACCCAAAAATTTATCTTCAGTAACAGAGAATATATTTTTTAATTACTCACATTCAGTTCTTCCTGCTACTAAAAACTTTAATTACCTCACTAGTTTTTTTAATTATTTTCTTGCTGCTGCTACTTGTAATTTAACCCATAATATATACTTTTTTGTGGATCATCGTTCTCTTCAATTTGTTTGAGACATCAACGGCGGCTAGACATTGGGTTTTTTCCTTTATCTTCTATTATCTGTT